GTAGCTGTAATCGATAAATGTTTATGGATGGAGTGGTGATTCCTCAGCCTCCTTTGGAGACCTGAGTGCTACCTTCTCTTGACCCTAAAAAGAAATGACTATTGTAACAGTGAGAGAATCTGTTTCTCAACTAGTAAGTCCTTTGCTCTGGCTGCTTTTATACAAAAGCTCCAGGCTCCTGGCTTCGGAGTGGCTCAGCTCCAGCCATTGTGGCTGATTGGAGAGTGAACCAGTAGATGGAAGATATTTCTGTCTCTACTTCTCTCTGTAAATCTTTTCCAATGAAAATAAGTACACCTTAAAAAATGGATTTCAACTTTGCAGGCCCCTACTATACATGTGTTTCAAAAGCTTTTGCACCAAAATAAACTTGTTTTTCAAAGAATTATTTATTTTTATTGCAAAGTCAGATACACAGAGAAGAGCATAGACAGAGAGGAAGATCTTCCATCCAATGATTCACTCCCCAAGTGAGCGCAATGGTTGGTGCTGTGCCGATCCAAAGCCAGGAGCCAGGAACTTCCTCCAGGTTTCCCACGTTGGTGCAGGGTCCTAAGGCTTTGGCCCATTCTTGACTGCTTTCTCAGACCACGAGCAGGGAAAAAATGGGAAATGGAGCTGCCGGGATTAGAACCAGTGCCATATGGGATCCCGGCGTTTTCAAGGCAAAAACTTCAGCCACTGTGCTGGGCCTCAAAATAAACTTAAAATCTGACTTTCACAGAATATTTCTGAAATATCCTTATGTGAGTTAATTCTCATTACGGTGTATACCATTGCTAATTTTGGCTTGAAGTGCCTCAGTTGAAGATTTTAATATAATTCAAAATTATTTTACTAAACATTCAATAAACACCAACTTAAGTTTGTAATCTAGAGACAAGATAGCAGAACAAGAGTAAATTGAGCACACATATACTAAGTGCAGAAATAAAATGTTACTGGTGCAGTGAATGTCCCATGTGGCTGCTCTCTCGGCTCAGTTTCTTTCCTACCCTGAGCCAACTGCAATCCTGCATGAAAGGCAGAGTGACAGAAAAAAACAGAGACAGGGAGAAATTTCCTTTCTGCTGATTCATTCTCCAAATGGTGACTATCACCAGGCCTGGGCCAAGCTGAAAGCAGGAACTCCGCGTTGGTCTCCCACATGGGTAGCATGGACCATGCCCTTGAACCATCTTCCACTGCCTCCCAGGATGCATGATCAGGAAGCTGGATTGCAAGGCAGAGCAGCTGGGACTTGAACTGGCACTCAGATACAGGAGACAGGTGTTGCAAATGGCAGCCTACTGTGCTCTGCCACAGCACCTGCCTCTGTAAAGTTTTTCTCAGTATGCATGTGCATGTATTCCTAAACAATACATTTTTGTTTTTTAAAACATTTTTAAAGTTTATATAAATGATGTCAAATTGTATATTTTTAAATTTTTTCTTTCTTCTTCTTTTTTTTAATTTGAAAGGCAGGGCCCGGCTAAAGTCTTTGCCCTACATGTGCTGGGATCTCATATGGGTGCTGGTTCTAATCCCAGTGGCCGGCCTCCCGTTCAGCTCCCTGCCTGTGGCCTGGGAAAGCAGTCAAGGATGGCCCAAAGCCTCAGGCCAAAACCTGGCTGCTCCACTTCAGTCTAGTTCCCAGCTGATATATCTGGGAAAACAGTAAAAAATGGCCCGAGGTCTTGGTCTCCTGTATCTGTATGGGAGACCTGGAAGAAGCTCCTGGCTTTGGGTTGGCCTATTCCTGGCCCTTGCAACTATTTAGGGAGTGAATCAGCAGGTGGAAAGTTTTTCTCAATCTCTGTCTTTTCCTTTCTGTGTAATTGTTTCAAATACAAATTTAAAAATCTTTTAAAAAATATTACCTCCTTAATATTTCATTTGTTGTTATGGTTTATAAGTGATTTTTTTAAAAAAAAATCTAATTTTTTTCTGATTGTTTATTGCTAGCATTTAGGAAAACAATTGATTTTTAAAAATAATATATCACATTTGTCCCCACTTGGTCAAAGATGTACTATCTTTTGGCTGTATTATTCAGTACAATTTGTTAACACTTTGTTAATAACTTTTGGATTTATTGGGGGGAATCTTTTCTATTGATAGTGTCTGGTTTTGTTAATAGGCTAGGGCTAACCTTATAGGATGAGACAGGTTCCTTCCTGTCTTATATCTGAAGTCGTTTGTGTAGCATTGGAATCATCCCTCCTTTAAAAATTGAGAAGATTTAATCAGCGAAGCCACATGGGACTGGAGTTTTCTTTGGGGATGTTATAGGTTGTTGACATTGCAAACAGCAGTTTAACCTGCTGGGGTCTCATTAGCACAAATGTATTATCTTTTTTTGTTGTTGTTAATTTCAAAACATCACTTTTTTATATCAAAGGAAACAGTATTATCCATCTTAAATATTTTTTCAATTTACTGATGTTTAGGATTTTTGCTCCTCAGATGACTGCAGCGGCTTGGGCTGGACTGGGCTGGAATCAGGAGCCCAGAGTTTTGTCCAGGTCTCCTAAGGGCCCCAAGCGCTTGAACTGTATTCTGCTGCTTTCCTAGCCACATTAGGGAGCTGGGTTGGACACAGAACAACCAGGACTTGAACTGGCACTAGGATGTGGGATATTGGCATCAAGAGTGGTAGCTCAATCATTATGCCATGATGCTGACTCTAAATTTATAAGTTTATTTATGTGTTTCTTCTATTAAAAACTCTACACATCTCTGTTAAAATAATTTTTACCTGTTTTTTCTTTTCATGTATTCAGGTTTTAATCTGATCAATTATTTTTAGTTTATTTCAGTTTAAGCCATGAAGTGAGAATGTATCTAAATTCTGCCCTGAAGCAACAGACTTATCCTTTCTTTATCTCAGTTATTCCTTCCATAAAACAGAACAGCCAGCAATCAATACAACACTCTATATCAAGGCCTGACACACACAGTCTAATGCATATAAACTCATTTAGTCTATTTTATGACCATGTATCATTAACATCTCTGTTAGTCTACCTGTGACACAGAAAATTCTTGCTCGCAAAAGATCAAGTGGCTAGCAGGTGCCTGAGCTGTGATGGGAACCCAGGAAGGATGTTTGCAGTTGCTTTGTGCCCAAACCTCATGCTGAACTGCCACCCGGATGCTGCTGTCCATTCATACGCAGCCCCAGCAGCCAGGGGCTTCTCCGCATGCCCTTATCCCTTACTTCAGTGTGAGAATTGTTTTGAGAATTGGCTGTCTAGTTCCAAACCCCTCTTTGATAAATGGACTTACTATAGTAATTGCTCATATTTTGTTCAAACAGAGGTGAATCAATGGAATATGAGTATAAAAGTAATGTTGTTTTGGGGTAAGCATTTAGTCTAGCAATTAAGACGCCCATGTCCTGCCTCGAAGAGCCTGGGTTTGATCCCTTGTTCTGGCTCCTTAATGCTAACCCTAGAAGACAGTAGTAGTGATGGCTGACATGGCTGTGCCTCTTCCGTCTGCATGGGAGATTTAGATTGAGTTCCTAGGTCTCAGTTCCCACCCTCGCCTACTTTAGCTGTTGCAGACATTTGGGGGAATGAATGGGTGGCAGGGAGTTCTTTCTTGCTCCCTTTCTGTCAGGAAAGGAAAAGAAGTGGGGAGAGGAGAGGAGAGAATAGGAAAGGGGAGGGGCGTGGAGGGGAAAGAAGGAGACTTGAAGAAAAATACAGGAATAGAAAAGAGTGAAGTTCTTACAGAAATGATGTTTTTGTGCAATCGATTCCTTTTAATAGATGCCATAAAGTCAAGAAAAAATTGTGGAATTAGGTGTGAGTGATAACTATGAAGGTTGGTAAGGAAAAAGTCCTAGGATTTTTATTTTAGTTTCTTTTTTTTTTAAAGATTTATTTTTATTATTTTTGTATTGGAAAGGCGGATATACAGAGAGGAGAGACAGAGAGGAAGATCTTCCATCCGATGATTCACTCCCCAAGTGAGCGCAACGGTCGATGCTATGCCGATCCGAAGCCAGGAGCCTCTTCCGGGTCTCCCATGTGGGTGCAGGGTCCCAAAGCTTTGGGCCGTCCTTGACTGCTTTCCCGGGCCACAGGCAGGGAGCTGGAAGGGAAGCGGGGCTGCCGGGATTAGAACCGGCGCCCATATGGGATCCCGGGCGTGCAAGGCGAGGACCTAACCACTTGCGCCACTGCGCCGGGCCCTATTTTAGTTTCTTGTCTGAAATTTTCTTGTTACTGACATAAATCATGAAAATTTTGGAAGATACATGATGAATTTGGTTTAAATCAAGAGGACTAACAACCAGCAAAATAATTTTCACAGAAAAAAAATTACATTTATAGATTAGTGAATAAATACATCTTTAGCTGGTTTCATTTCAAATACATACTCAAAGTATGTTTTTACTTTTAATTGTTGTGTGTCGTTAATTTTACTTCTCGTATCCCAAATAATCAATTGAGGACAGATGTCATTTTGGTAGGAAGATTTCCTTTCTGGTTAACCATTTTTCTTTGCATCATTTATTGGAAGGGCTGTGCTTGACTAGCAAGAGGCGTACATTCACCATTCACCCATCCTTTCATGTACTGCACCGGGCCATCCTTGACTGCCTTCCCAGGCCACAGGCATGGAGCTGCATGGGAAGTGGAGCAGCTGGGATAGGAACTGGCACTCAAATGAGATCCTGGTGCATGCAAGGCGGGACTTTAGCCACTAGGCTACTGTGCTGTGCCCAGAATACTAAGGTTTTTACTCTAGTTTTAAAATGCGGCAAAACTAAGGAACTCAGATACAGAGACAGCAAGTACCAAGACACAGGACAAATTGTAGTTCTATATGGGTTTTTCTGTACCCTCTGAATGACACTGAATGCATAAATAGTGATGCATGAAAGTACTGTGGACTTAAACCTCTGACAGGAGTTATCAATGATGATAGCCATGGAGGTCAGAACTGAAGTTTCCTTTGAAGAGACTCCAAGAAGGAGGGAACATTTTTTCCCCCTGAGACCTGGTTCTTTATGAGAGGAGCTTGTTCACCTGCTCCCTAAACACCTGCTTCACGTGTTTGTTCCTCAGGGTGTAGATGAAGGGGTTGAGCACCGGGGTCACCACGGTGTTAAACAGTGCCACCACCTTTTTGTGGTCCTCTCCTTGGCCACCTTTGGCTGACCAGATGAACATGAAGATGCCGCTGCCATAGAAGAGGGACACCACAATGATGTGGGAGGAGCAGGTTGAGAAGGCTTTCTGCCTCTCCCTGGCTGAGCGGATGTGCAGAATGGTGTGGAGCATATGCCTGTAGCAGGTGGCCGTCACACACAAGGTGCCCAGGAAGCTGATGATGGCTGTCACAAAGGCTATGAGTTCTATCAGAGTTGTGTCTGCACATATGAGTTCCAGGAGTGGAAAGTTATCACAGAAGAAGTGGTTAATGACATTAGGGCCACAGAATGGCTGGTTAAATAGGATGACACTTGGAAGAATGATAAGAATGAATCCTGTGCTCCATGAGCAGAGTACTAGCTGCACACACATCCTTTGGCTCATGATAGTGGCATAGTGCAGGGGGTTACAAATGGCCACGTACCTGTCAAAGGACATCACCGCCAGGAGGAAGAACTCTGTGGTGCCCAGGGAGAAGTAGAGAAAACTTTGTAGGAAGCATCCTGCTAGGGAGATGGCCTTGTGCCCTGTGAGGATGTTGGCCAGCATCTTGGGGAAGAGGACGGAGGTGAACCAGATCTCCAGGACAGCAAAGTTAGTACATGTGGGTGTGGAGGTGCCTGTCCGAGACGGTGAGGAGAAGGTTGCCCAGCAGGGTGAGGAGGTAAGTGAGGAGGAGCCTGAGGAAGATGAGCAGCTGCAGCTCGCAGGCGTCTGAGAGCCCCAGCAGGGTGAGCTCGGTGGCGGTGCTGAGGTTCCCCATGGCTCACCTCTGGGAGCTGCTGGGGACGGTAGACGCAAGGTGCCCTGTGTCAGGAGTGGTGGTGTTCTGGAGCTCTGAGGACAACCTGGAATGGAAAGGAAGATGGATGTGTGTTGCATTCGGGGCTGACCAAAGCTTTTATTTTTGTGAAAGTCTTGCCACTGACTTCTGTGCTTGTTTGCAGAGCCTCTCAAGGTACCTATCTAGTCTCTGTCTTGTGTGTTAGATATGGGAGAAAGTTATGATGTTTAGGGGTACAACGTAAGTGTGTGTACAACCCAAAATTATCCCTTCTTACTTCTGTTATCTGAAAAGATTATTCCTATTTCTTAGTGAATTCCTTCATTCCTACTAATGCAAGCTCTCAGCACTCTTTTTTTTATCCTTACTCCAATATTGGGTTTTTACCCATAAATAATAGATAATGGAAGGTGTTAATATTACTAGATTTTTGGCCCGGCGCGGTGGCGCAGTGGTTAAGGTCCTCACCTTGCACGCCCGGGATCCCATATGGGCGCCGGTTCTAATCCCGGCAGCCTCGCTTCCCTTCCAGCTCCCTGCCTGTGGCCTGGGAAAGCAGTCGAGGACAGCCCAAGGCTTTGGGACCCTGCACCCATGTGGGAGACCCAGAAGAGGCTCCTGGTTTCAGATCGGCATAGCATCGGCCGTTGCGCTCACTTAGGGAGTGAATCATTGGACGGAAGATCTTCCTCTCTGTCTCTCCTCTCTGTATATCTGCCTTTCCAATGAAAATAAAAATAAATCTTTAAAAAGAAATATTACTAGATTTTCCTAATCTTTGTTGCTGTTCACTGTCATTTGGATTAATTAAAAGGAACTAAGAAAACTATGGAGGGGAAAAAAAAAGCACAACTCTCAAAAACCAAAAAATTACCAGGTCCAATCATATATACATACATTAAAATTTCTTAATAGGATTTAAAAAAATATTTATTTATTTATTTATTGGAAAGTCAGATATACAGAGAGGAGGAGAGACAGAGAGGAAGTTCTTCCGTCCGATGATTCACTCCCCAAGTGAGCACAATGGCTGATGCTATGCCAGTCCAAAGCCAGGATCTCCCACATGGGTGCAGGGTCCTAAAGCTTTGGGCTGTCCTCAACTGCTTTCCCAGGCCACAAGCAGGGAGCTGGATGGGAAGTGGAGCTGCTGGGACTAGAACCGGTGCCCACATGGGATCCTGGGGTGTTCAAGGTGAGGACTTTAGCTGCTAGGCCACACTGCCAGACCCAGGATTTTGTATTATTTTCCCAAGTACTACTTCCAGTTTTTTTCTGATACCACATCTTCCCAGAAATCCTGGGCTGTAGATAAAACAAATTCTTTTCAATATTTGGACTTAAAAGAAGTATTTATTTTTATTGGAAAGGCAGAGTCGCAGAAAGTAGAGACAGAGAGAAAGATCTTCCATCTGCTGGTTTACTCCCCAAGTGGCCGCAATGGCCCAAGCTTAGCCAAAACGAAGCCAGGAGCCAGGAACCTCCTCCGGGTCTCTCAGTTGGGTGCAGGGTCCCAAGACCTCAGGCTGTCCTCCATTGCTTTTCCAGGCCACAAGCAGAGGGAGCTGGATGGGAAGTGGAGCAACTGGGATATGAACCAGCACCCATATGGGATCACAGTGCAAAAAAAAGGCAAGGACCTAAGCCACTAGGCTATCGTGCTGGGCCCATTCAATATTTGGATTTTTTAAATCAATTTTGTGCAGCTGTTAAGTTTTATGCTGACATTTTTCTTTTTTTCAATTTTTATTTTTCAAATTTGTCACACAATTCTGTATAGTCTGGGATTCCCCTCCCCTCGACTTACACACCCCCACCCCCGATTGATTTTTCCCTTAATATGCTGACATTTTTCGTCTAGTGAGCATCAGTCTTTTCAGTCCCATTTATGCTTAAATCTCCTCAAGAAGTCCTGTGTTTTCTATGAGGCCTTTTCCTCTGAGTGAATAGTTTTTTGTATCTCCCCTGATTTTGTTGGGTTTCACTTTACTGTCTAGTATTGTATAATTGCTTTTTTAGAGTAAAACCTTCTTCGTTTTGTATTTTTTAAAGAACTTAGAAAAAATTGTTGCAATAATCAGTTTTGGTGACCATTTACTGAAACTGTGAATGATAATTCATATGGCTGAGGAATGGATTTGGTAAGTGACTGGCATGCAGGAGGCTGAAGATGCCATAGTTCCATGCTCTCACCCCTCCTGCCCCGATTCTGCTCTCTTTCTTTGCTGCCAGCATGGCATGCATGAACGTCCTGACTGATGCCCTTACAATGTTGACAAAGAGGCAAACACCAGATTCTTACTAAATTGTTCTCTAAAATCTTTGTCAGGTTTCTAACTATGATGATGAAGCACAGTTACACTGGTGAATTAGAAATCATGGATGATCATGGAACTAGAAAAATGGTTGGGAACCTCACAGGCAGCTTCAGTAAATGTGGAGTGATCAGCTCCAGATTTGACGTGCAGCTGAAAAGTTTAGAAAAATGGCAGAGTAATCTACTCTCATTCTGTCAGTTTGGTTTCATTGTACTGGCAACCTCTCCTGGAATTATGAACCATGAGGAAGCAAGGCAAAAATACACAGGAGGAAAAATCCTAGGGTTCTTTTCTTAGGAATATGACATGCACATACAAGTAAAAACTCAATAAAAAAAAAAGAGGAGAGCTTGAGGACATATTGTTTTTCATTTATACAGTATTTGTCATAGGTCAGCATTAAAAAATATCAGTATATGGGCTGGTGTGATGGCTCAGTTGTCTAATTCTCTGCCTTCAAGTACCATATAGGTACCAGTTGTGTTCAGGCTGCTCTGCTTCTGGTCCAGCTTCCTGCTTGTGTCCTGGGAAAGCAGCAGATAACCGCCCAAGCCTTGGAGTCCTACATCTGTGTGAAGACGCAGAAGCTCCTGACTCTTGGCTTTGGATCAGCTCAACGCTTCTCCTTGTGGCCATTTTGGGAGTGGACAGTAGATGGAAGATCTCTTTCTCTGTAATTCTCACTTTCAAAATAAGTACAATTTTTTTATTATTATTATTTTTTCATTAGAAAGGCAGATATACAGAGAGGAGAGACAGAGAGGAAGATCTTCCGTCCGATGATTCACTCCCCAAGTGAGCGCAACGGGCCGATACTATGCCGATCCGAAGCCAGGAGCCTCATCCGGGTCTCCCACGCGGGTGCAGGGTCCCAAAGCTTTGGGCCGTCCTCGACTGCTTTCCCGGGCCACAGGCAGGGAGCTGGAAGGGAAGCGGGGCTGCCGGGATTAGAACCGGCGCCCATATGGGATCCCGGGCGTGCAAGGTGAGGACCTTTAACCACTTGCGCCACCGCGCCGGGCCCAGTACAATTTTTTTTTTTTTTTAAAGAAGCCAACATCTCTGCACGTTTTCTTTTTTTTATGTTTTTTTTCTTTTAATGTTATTAATGACTAATTATCCAGCAGAATTATAGCAGGAGTTATGTGTCACTCAACGGAGAATAAGATTGGGGCCCAATTTAGGTAAATAGGAGGACTGAGATATATGGAGAAATTGAGTTATCAAGGGGTGAAAGTTATATTACTAGGGAGGAAAAACTGGTATACCTTATAAACTTTCCTGTTTAGATTGTTGTTTCTTTTCAAAAAGCACTCTTAAAAGGTATTTTACCAGTTGCCATGATCTCTAACATTTGTCTGACAGTTACTGGGAAGCGCACGATGACCGAGCAGCCTCTAAAGGTGTAACCAGTGCTGTTTCCCAGGAGTCATCTTCAGGTTCAGTGTCATCTGCATTTATCAGTGATTGGAGTTTGCTGACGGCCAAGCATTTGGTTGAAATGTGAGGCTGGCTGGTCAACAAACTTACCCAGCTTTTTGCAGAACAAAAATATACCCATAATACCCAGAAACATTAGAAACTAATAGAATGAATATTACTTGAGCAAAGTACTGGATATGACACATTGGTGGAAACTGAAGAAAAGAAGGTAAAGCAATGAAGGACTAAATAGGAATGGGATGAAGGAAAGAGTGTGGGATTCATGCCGAGTCAGCAGTTTAGTGCACATAAACCTTGCAAAGTCACTGCAGTCAGCTCAAGGACAGAATAGCTGATAAACTCCCCGCCCCTTACTTCCAGCTCTAGAGGGAAGTAGGCCATTCATGAGTACCAGGCAGCTCTCTCCTTATCCTAAATAGTTGATGAGTAAAGGGGGAGACTTACCTGGCAGTTTGGGAGCATGGATATGGCTGTACCATCTGCTTCCAATCATGCATTTATTCCGAGGGTCAGTCATGCACAGGGCAAAGTTATGCATGACCTGGAGTGGGGGTTGTCATGTCACAGCTGCGACTGCGTGGTCTTCTCAACAGTTTTAGTGCACTTAGAAGGAGAGTGAGGGCTTCCCCTCCTAAGGAAAAGTGTGAAGGTTTGTACCCAGAGTTGATGTTATCCAGAGCCTTAGGTTTTCTAAGGGACCAATTATACAGAACATGGGAGCAGGTAACATTGTAAATCAAGCCAGGCAGAGTTCCGGAATGCAAGCCATTGATTGGCTAAATATTGACTTAGCTGCTGTTTGTTCCAACTGTGACCTGGATGATGGGGCTAAAATTACAAATGAGACCAAGTGCCTGTCCATGATGTGCCAGATAAACAAAGTAAGTGCCAGTAAGAGGAGGTTTGACGAAGTTACTGCTGCTCTGCCATCCCCTGAGGTGCCAGGGTGGAGACTGTACCAAAGGCTCAGAGTCAGCTATGTAGCATCACTCTGAAGGGTCCAAGCCATCCCAAATAGACTACTTATAGGACTGCAGAAGGTACCTGATTCTCATGGATATTCCTGTTGCAGTATCGTCTCAGGGCAGTAAATACACAAAGGGTAAACTGTTGGCATGGAATAAGTATCCCTCATACATCTGACAGCACTCTCCAACAGCACCTGCTCTTTCCTAAAACCTCTGAATGGGCAGGTGCATCTCCTGGGGCACCAAGGGT